TTCTTAAGATGAAACTCAACATAAATATGTTTAGATTCCTGCTTCAAGGTGCCATCGTTATTTAAAGAACAAAGAAAGCTTCTACCCGCAGCCTTTCATTTATTACTGAAGATGGCCACTTCTTCCTCTCGGGGTTTGTATCGAATGGCCTTTATCAAGAGCCGATTTACCTTAGAACGACTGAATGATCTGCTACTCTGCACTCAGCACCATCTTGAAATACAAACAAATCTTTACGACTGTGTTGGGATGACTAGTGTCAGTCATAGCTCACTCTGAGAGAGATTTGGTCTACAGAGCGAGGGTAGTTCCATCGTGCAGTGCTTCAATAGCCCCGGAAGGTCCCCCCATCTTCTCATCTGGGTTTGCATCCGGTAATAATTTATAATAGAGAATTTCCCTTAATACGGTTTTAACGACATCCTTTCCCGGCTCAACCATCATTTTGTAATACATGACAGGTCTTTACGGCTAATGTCAAACTTTCCTCATTTTGACCAGGATGAACCGTCCGTAGTTTAACCATTGCATGACTTCTTTGGCGCGGTCGCGCTTCTGGATTTATCCGTGAACGGGCATTAACGCCAATCTCTGAAACCCATCACAATCGCGTAAACCAGAAACTTTTGATAAATCGGCATAAATTGGCAACCTGAGCATCGCACGCTTGAAGGCATATCGTTCATCGATCCTCGACAAAATTGGAAAGCAAAACGATCTCGATTTCCGCTTCTGCGATTCATCATGCCGGTGACAAAGAAATCATTATTGACTTCTAGCCTATGACGTCCAGACTTAACGAATTGCCTGTTTGGAAGCTTTTTTGCCGTCCTTTTTCACGTTTAATCATGTTTGAGGATGCTGATAATGAACTTTTGCCTTTTATTCATCGTTAAGCAACGCGTTCTGCCTACGTCACGGATATTTCCAAGCCGTGGTCTGTAATCTGACGCTTAATTAAATTCTCAACATCGTAATTACAGCTGGCATTAAATTCGAAATTGCATTTTCTGCCATTGTTTCTACCCCGCCCTCTTTCTTCTGCTCGTACCTTTTCAAAATCAACTGGAATTTCTTCTGAGCTAATCACCGCGTAACTGAAGGAATTATTCAATTTTAACCTGTCTCCATTTGATCCATACCTTACAGATGTTTGCTAATGCGGTGCATGTCAGATTCCGACTGTCAGCAGCATTAAGCAGTTAGTTCTCAACAATTGATCAATCAAATTTATTAACTCTGTTGAACGTAGCTGTCATTTGTACAAAATGGCTGCTGCACGTTTTAAAACTATGACAGACAGATCAGAAAAGCAGAAGATAATGGAGACAATAAGTTCGCTACCTTTCACTCACTTCCCAGTATGTTTGAAAACTTTGGCATCAAAACTTAGGGACAAGCTTTGT